AGGCAGCGCGGGGGGGGCGGGCCCCCCCCCCCCCTGCCAGTGCCTATTGGGTTCAGGCAGCTTCTGTCCCTCCACTTCCACTCCACCTACTCGCATCCCCGAGCCCCGCCCATTCAACCCCGCCCCAGCTCGTTACCACCCTCCGCCCTCGAAGCCCTATGCCCCGCCTACTGGTCGCGCCCCGCCCACTCACAGCACGGCCAGCTGCAAGGGTGACAGGTTGCTCTGAGCTCCGTGCAGACTGAGGACGGTGGCCGCTGGGCCGCTGAGCTCCCCGCGCCAGCTGCTGGAGTCAGGCTAGTGGAGAGGGCTGGGTCTAAGAGGCCAGAGGGTCTACCGCCTGCCGGCCCTGCGCCATTTGAGGGCACCTCCTACCTCCTCAGCTCGGTGCTCGAACCACAGCAGTCTGCTGAGCAGCAACAGATAGGACAGGAAGCCGGACCGGCCGCGCTGGCTCATGCCCGTGTCCCTCTGGAATGCAGAGCCGCCATCAGCAGCCCTGCCTGAGCCGGAAGGCAGGAGTTCCCGGGTGTGGGCAGGGCTCTCCGGCTGCCCACCTGGGTGGTGATAAGCTTCAGGACCAGATGGCAGTCTCCCTGCACACAGGAGGCCCGAGAGCGCGGCTCCAGCTTGAACCAGCGGTCCATGCCGGTTACGGGCACCTCCTGGGCAGACAGGAGGAGGGGTCAGGCCCCCAAGACTCCTCCCCTCCTCCCTGCGCACCCCCTGAGCCCCGGGACCAGCTTTCCTTCTCAGGTGAACCAGGAGGCTCCTGGGGCTTAGCAGGCTGGGGCACCCCTCCCACTGCCAGCGTGCACTGCCCCCAGCCTAGCCACCCTGGTGCCACGCACCCGGACAGGGATGTTGAGGCAGCCCAGGAAGTCGTCGGTGTGGTCCTCGGGGGGCCCGGCTGCCCCGTTGGCACGGGCCGACTTGACAATCTGTTTGAAGTACCTGGTGCAGACAGGAGCCTTGTACGCTGCTCTGGGCCGGCTGCAGGCCTAGTGCTGGGCTCAGGGCCCACCCTACCTGCTCACGCCCTTCAGGCCGATGACCTCGTTCAGCTTCCTGCATGCTTCCACCAGGGACACGTCGTCGTCATGGTCCCTGGGGTGGCGACCTGGTCTGTCTGGAGTGCCTAGCTGGGCCCTGGGTCCCTCCAGCCCCACCCTCAGAGGTGCCCACCCCTGCCCAGGGCCAGGGCTATACCAGATGTCCAGGTGCAGCTGGTCAGTGTGCACGTCCTCGATCTCACTGCAAGAGAGCACAGGGCGTCCATTGCCAGGGAGCTCCAGAGCAAGAGGCTGCCAGCTCCGCCTGGGCTCGAGTCCTGACGGTCACTCGCCGTGAGCCGGGTGGCCAGGGTACATAACACCCGTCTCTGGACAGTGGGTACAGGACCAGCCCCCGAGTCCCCTGGGGTAAGCTGCGAGGCCAGGGACAGTGTGGGTGTCACAAGCATCCCGCCTGGGCACCAGGCCTTACAAGAGGAAGTGCTCCTTCCAGACAGGGTTCAGGGTGCCGCTCCTGACCTCTGTGACCTGGATGCTCTTGGCGGGCAGCGGGCTGCTCCGCTTACTGCCCCTGCGGAAGCTGAAGCGTGGCTCCTTCTGCTGGCTGGCCTCCTGCTGGGCGCCCGAGGCCGGCAGGATTCCCAGCATGCAGTATGGGTCGCTGAAGCCTAGGACACGGAGGTGCTTCAGCTCCAGCCCCGTGTCCTCTGCCCTCCACGGCAGCCAGGGACCCGGGTCCCCACTCACCATTGGGGTCTTTGGCCAGAAGGTTCTTGGCGCATATGACAGAGACTTTCAGGGCGTATGTAGGGGCCTGTGAGCAGAGAGGCGGGGGCCTCGCGGGGCTGAGCTGTGTGCGCCCTGATGTGACAGGGCCTGCCTGTGCCTCCCCCACCCCTGTGCACACGGGCTCTGAGCTGCTCGGCCCCTGGAAGGCGGTGGGGGCCTTACCTTTGCCCTCTTTACGTGCCCCACGGCCTCGGCATGCTCCTCAGGGCTGGTGCCGAACACCTGTGGGAGGCGGGCAGCTGGAGGGGCTGGGGGCGCTGCAGGCAAGGCCGGGCCTCAGCCCTCGGGCGGTGTGGGGGCGAGCAGCAGCTGGGGGTTGTGCCGGGGGCGTGAGTGCACGGCTGGGCATGGTGCGTGTGAAGGCAGCTCGCGAGACAGGAGCCGTGGGGGCCGGCACCCGCGGGTGAGGAGAGGTGCGTCCACCTCTGGGACCCTTGTGCCCACCTGTCTGTGCCCTGCTAAGCCAGTGTTCCCGCGCGCACGTGCACCTCCCTGCCTGGACGTACCCCTGTACACATTACACTTCTGTGCGTGCACGGCATGGGGCCACCCTGTGTGAGGGTCGCGTGACGGCGACGTGAGCTGGTGGCGGAGGGCCGGGGGGAGGTAGGGTCTCTGTCCTCCCCAGATGTGGCGGGCATCGCATGGCCAGTGCTGACAGAGCTCACCTGCTGGAGGTAGCTCAGCAGGGCGTCCTCGTCATCCACCTGCTCGGGCCCCACAGCCCCTGCGCGGTGCAGGACTGTGTACAAGGCCTCTTCGTAGAGCAGCTCCACCTGCAGCGACGGGGCTGACGGGGTCCCGAGGCCCGGCCATGCATGCTCGGCCCCACCTTGCACTCCTCCCACCGGCATGGTCCCTGCCTCACCACCTGCCCCACCCGCCGTGGCACCCGTCCATCCACCTGTCACCAGAGCCCAGGCCCTTCCCTGGGGCCAGGGAGAGCAGATGGGCCCGTCCCTGGGGTCAAGCCTCCCCCATCGTCCCATTACCTCCTCCTGGGTCAGGACCCTCTGGCCACGGTCGGGGTCCACAGGCTCCGCGGGGGTGGGCGAGCCGCTACGCAAGAGAACCTGCAAGGGCACCTGGGTGCAGGTCCTGGGGCGTCTGTCCATGCCCCCAGGCCGTGGCTGGGTGCCTGGGGGAGCTGCAGGGAGGAGGGAGTGGGGGCAGCCTGTGCCAGGGCTGTGGGAGCGTGTTCTCACCTCAGGGCATGGCAGGCCTCGTCTACCTTCCCCCTTCTTTAGAAGAAGGCGCATCTGGGCGAAGAACTCCGTGCCATCCCTGGCTTTCCTGGGAGAGGGGCGGGCGTCAGCTCTCGGTGTGCAGCACGGGCCACCCACCTGGGACCAGCCTGGCCTGGGGACACAGCCACCCAAATCTCCATGGGCCGGGACGGCGGGGCGGCAGCAGGGGGTCTGCCGGGCGCTGTGGCCTGGGCTTCAGACCCACCCGCCCGCCCACGTGAGCCAGTGGCAGGCCCGTGGGCGTGTGAGGTCTGGCCAGAAGGGGGAGGCCAGGCACAGGTGCCCTGCCAGGTCGGCCTCCGGCACGCACCGGGCCCAGGTGGCAGGCTCCTGCGGGTCGGCGCTGGCACCCCCTGGCTCTTGCTCCGCCCTGCGGCGGAGGGCCGGGCGCTCCCGCATCTGCCGGAGCACGCTGCTCTTCATCCCCAGCAAGGCGGACATGGCAGTGGCCTGCAGGAGGCAGGAGGGGTGGGCAGGGCTCAGAGCCTGTGCGTCCCTTGCAGGTGGCCTTGAGGACAGGTGGCAGGTGCTGTCACAGGCGATGGCTGTGCGCTGGGGTCGCTGGGACAGCGCCAGCCACCCCCACGGCTGCAGGGCCGAGGCCAGAGCGGGACTGGGAGAGCATCTCCCGGGGTTGTGCTGAGAGGACTCCCAGCCCCGTGGCCACTCTGGAGCCAATGCCTGGTGGCCAGGCCCTCTGTGGAACCGCTGGGCGACCCTGTCACCAGGACAGCGCCTGCCTGCCGCAGCTGGGACACCGAGCCGCCCCCAGCTGGAAAACTCGGGGTCCAGCCCACTGCAGTTACCCTCAGGTTGCCACGGCAACCACGCTACCTCAGCCCACTCCCGGAGGTCGCCTGCCAGGAATGGGGCGGCCTAGGCAGACCCCAGCCCTGTGGCCCAGCCCAGCCTGGTTCTGCTCAGAACCTGCTGGGCCCTGAAGGGGCGGGGAAGCAGAGGGGACGTGGGTGGACGCCTTTCCTCTCTCCCGAGAAGGCGGGCTGCCCTCACTCTGCTTGGAGCGCCACGCCGTCAGCCTGCCTCTGCCAGGCTCCTCGCTCGCCTGGGCACAGCTGCGGCAGGGACTCAGTTTCCCCTGCAGGCAGAGGACCTTGGGCAGGAAGGCAGCTATGACACCAGGGCCTCCAGACCCCCTCTCGCTGCGTGGCCCAGCCCAGGCCCCACCTGTGCCCTGGGCCCCACATCCCCTCCAGCCCTGTGACAGCCCCGGGGAGGCCCCATCTGCCACGGACACTCTGGTCCCTGCCGCAGCCTCCTAGCCTCCTGCACCCCACGGCAGGCCTTTGTCCTGTCCGCGGGGCCCAGTTCACTCCCCGCGGTGCCTCTGGGCCTGCATGGCAGTCTGGTCACTGGCTAGCAAAGGGCATGAGGACCCCTCGCCCAGCACAACCTGGCTGCCACCTCCGTTGTGTGCCCACTGCCTCAGGTCGCCGCCCAGGTCACCTCAGGTGACAGCTCTACTGCCAGGAGAGCCAGGGCGGGCACAGCTGCAGGCTCCCCACCCCACCAGGCCTGTCTGTGGTACCCAGGGGTGCCCCCAGCCTGCAGCCCCCCGGGGTCCTGGTAGGGCCAGTGAGTGCCCTTCACCTGCCAAGGGGCCAGAACGAGGCCGCACCCCCTGCAGATCCAGAGCCTCCCCCAAAGCCGGGGCTCAGCAGCCAGAGCAGGTGTGAGGTCCCTGAGACGGTGAGTCAGGCCTCTTCCCCTTGAGCTGAGCAGGAGAGGCTGCCCCCCCCACAGCCCCCCAAAGCCAGTAGAGCCACCACTGCCTGAGCTGTTGCCAGGGCAACCGCCAGCTGCATCTGCGTGTGATGGGGGCTTGGGGCTCGTGTCTCAGAGACAGACGTGGCGCAGGATGAAGCGGCCTGAGCTGTGGGAACAAGCGTGCGGGCAAGGCGGCCGGCGCTCGCTGCATTGCCTACACGCACCACAGCCGCGCGGGGGCGTCTCAGACACCTGCCTAAGGGCGCGGCCCGCGGGTGGTGGCCTGGGTCGCCAGCCCTGAGTGCACGCAGGCCCTGCTATCCAGGTGCTCACTTCCCACGATGTCCCGAGCCTGGAGGTCCAGCTGGGCCGGACCCCCCCAACACTGAACACTGACCGCAGCTCCTGCTCCTCCCTCAGGTTGCTGCTGCACCGGGACGAGTTCTGCTCCCGACTGCTGGGTGCCAGGGCAGCCCCGGCCCTCGGGCCACTTCCACAGAGGCCCTCCCAGTCCCAGCCAGGGACCTCACCCAGGACGCCGTAACTGAGCACGGGGCTGCAACCAGAACAGGAGGGCCCGGGCGTGAGGGGCAGAAGGGGCCCCGTCCTCTTGCCATCTCTGTCCCTCCTGGGCTCAGACAGCAGGACGTGCCCGCATCCGCGCCGTGCAGCTGCCAGGGCCGGAACCGCGGCTCCTGTCTATCCGTGGGCAGGGCTGACCGCCGAATGCCATGCTGTGCCTCTGGGGCCCGGCCACGGGCGGCACTGCTCTGGTGGCCACCACCTCTCTCAGCTGCTGGGTCCCAGCTCACAGCCACGCTGGCCGGTGCCTGCTGAGCGGGGTCCTGCAGGAGACCGAGGCCTCCGTCCGGAGCCAGCACAGCGGGGACGAGAGTTCCCGAGACCAGGTCAGGCCCACGATGCAGCCCAGGCTGACTCCAGAGCCAGGTGGTGCTATTTCCTGCCAGGACACCCGGGCTGCGGTGTTGGGGTGGATGAGTCTGGGGCAGCTGAGCAGGGCAGGAGGGCTGGGCTGGCCTGCCCTACCCCTGCCCCAGCTACCCTGAATGAACACCTTTGGCTTGGGGGGCACTGGGGGCCAGGGCGGGGAGGGGCCCTCCAGTGCTGCCCAGGTGTGTGGGCAGGGGTTGGCAGAGGATGGCGTCGGGGGTGGACTCACCGGCTCCGTGGGCCCCG